GAACATAAGGGATTATACCAGAGACAATTAGACGGATAATTCTATGCCTTTTATTCAGTTATTTCAAAAATATTTGCTGATCATTTGTTTCAAAATGTACATTAAAAAAATCCATACAAAACTGTAATTTGTTTTCAAACCAGACAGAAACAGTGGAAACAGGATTTTGAAAAAAGTTCACTGAAAAGTAAAAAGTCCCCCCACCCCCCAAAAAAAACAAAACCTTTTACATGAGCATAAATACGGCAGGTACAAATTTTCCTTGAGTTCCTTGTTGAAATTTGGTCCATAACATGAACAGGCTTAAGTAGAAAAACAAAAAGACACTTTTTGTCCACATTTGCATTATGAGTTGCTCAGGGCACCAGCAGCCTCAGCTCATCCTTCCGATGTTTATTAAACAAGAGGAACTGAAAAATGAGGTTTATAGTCTCATCACATAAACACTTGAATCTGTACCCAAGGACATGGTGGTACTTATAACCACAGCCAGATCCTATCAGGTGAACAGGGGGCTGTCCACGCGTGGCTGCTACTCAGAAAATTCTCCTTCCTCTCCACGTGAACAAAAAACTCTAGAATGCTTTTGGGCAGCGGGATGGTGATGCCTCAGGTGTCACCTATCTTACTCCCAGAAACTGACTTATTAATGCCCCATCATGAGGATTTCTTTTTCCTTCTCAAACAGATTTTTTAGAACTATAGGTGGACGTCTAAGATGACGCTACACTGTTCTACTAGAGTGCCACAGAAACCCACCCAGGAGCACGAGAATGACAGCAACAAAGAGGAAGTGGCTACCACTTCTTCTGTAGGGGGTGACAGCCGCCCCTCCCGTGGGTCCCTTCCCTTCCCAGGGCGCTGTAAGGGACGGTAAGGCCTGTGGAAAGACCACTGGCTGGGAGGGTTATTGCACAACCCGGAAGAAAAAGGAAAAGGCAGGCAGGCAGGGCACGGGGTGGGAGAGGGAGCTGCTGCTAACACAAGGTAACACTGAAGCAGGAGATCCGAGAAGTTCTGCAACAGCCCAACGAGACCCACTGTCAAAAAGGTATCTATGGGCTAACACTTGCGACCAGGAAGTAAACACCTGTAGAATATAAACTTTGGGTTGAACGGGAAGCAAAATAGATCAGAAGAGGTTCTAGTAAGGGTTACCTTTCTTTATAATCAGGGGTTGGGGGGGGGACTGGAAGAGCAGGTCTCACCATGTTGGGGCCGGAGCCACAGGGGGACTTGGAGCTCCTGGAGGCCTCTGAGCTTCCCGTAACAGATACGAGGCTCAGGTGCCTGCGATGCGCCCTCACTGGTTTCTGCAGCCACCCAGGTGGGCCAGGAAACGGACACAAGGGAGAAACCAAAAACAAAACAGAGAACACACCACAGACTACAACACAAGGGTGGGTGGGTGGTGGTGGAGACTGAGACGAATGAGGGGAAAACTGTCACAATCCGTGTCCCTTCTCCATGTAACTGTACCGGGGTCCAGTGTCCGTGGCTGCACTTGACAACCAGCCCTAGAGCCCTGGCCGCTGTGGGCCGGCCACACAGTACAAGTGAAGTCTGGAAGACCACACGGCAAGTAAGGCACTTGTTACACAATAAGGATCTGCGTTGGACAAACACTCACCGGGGTTGCTGAGCCCGAGGGGCGGCATAGAGCCTGTAGGTCCCAACATCCCAATGCTTTTCTGAGACCCCCATAAAAAGAGTGAGTGTGTGTGTGTGGGGGGGGGCCGGAGGGGGAGAGCGCAGGGAGAGTGAGGCAGCTGAGGGGGTCTTTTTTTCAGCTTTTTGGAAGGAGGAGTTAATATTCCTGTGAGAACTCGAGTAAGGAGTGAAAAGTTAGTCAAGGCTTCCTCACTGGGCCAGCCGTGGGCTGGAGGAAGATTCTATTTAGGTATCAAGTGATCTGACAATGACCCCATTTTCTAGTCGTGCCCCAAGTTCCTCTTGACAAACAGACCTGATTCACGTGCCCTCGACACACTCCATGAGAGGACAGAGGGCTGCGAAGTATGCTCACTGTGACACTGAGGCCCTTAGGCAGGGGACTTAGTCATGGCCTTCTCTCACCCAGGCCTAGGAAAACCCAACTGCACTGACTAGAATGGGAGAAGCAGCTCTCCTCCTGGCTCGGCCTGCTCCCGTCTCCCCCAGAACCTTCCCCTACCTTCAGGAGGACACATGTAACTTATTAATAGTGCAGCTCTCAGAGCCCGGATGGTAAAAATAACTCGCCCATCACTGAACCTCCGAGGAGGGGAATCTGCAGCATGGGATCCTCCCGCCCCACTGACACGCCTCCCTCTCCCACCACTGCCCTCTGCCTGGCTCCCCTCACACTGGTGCCAGGCAGAGGTGTGGAGAGAGGCGGCGGCTGCTGAGGTAGATTAGCACGTGTTCTCCTGCTCTGGGTGGACGGGGCTGAGCTGGCCTCTCACACTGGGAGGCGTCTGACACGGCCTTCACAGATGACTTGCCACACGGGGAACAGGAGAAAGTTTAAGACGGAAGAAAATAGCCAAAGTGGCCGAATCAGGACAAGCCAGCCCAACAAGCTCACAGGATGAAGTGGGACATCTGAGATATTTCAGCTCCTGGCAACGTGGTTTGAGCCAACTTGCCAGACTTGGCTCTGCTCGGAAAGAAATGTGCCAGGGATGCCAGGGGGGTGACCGAGCACGTTACAATTTCCCTCTTATTCCCCCTCCCCTCAAATCATTCCTGAAGCCCGGCTAGTGAGATGCTAGCCTTACTCGTGGTCTCCAGGGGNCAAGTTAGAACTCAAGTCAGTTCTGGTCTTGCCTCTGACATGAGGTTTGGGATAAGTCACTAAGTTCTTCAAGCCTGTTTTCTCATCATTAAAAAGGGGAGGCGTGCTGACTGAGTTTATGTGAGCCCCATTTTATTCCAAAACAGATTTGGGAAGATGAAACATGAGAGTTTTTTTCCAGCTCTAAAATTGTTTAATTTTATAACTGTGCCTTCATGTTCAGAGAAAATAAAAATCAGGGTTCTGCTTATCCCAGCTGTGATTTGAAGGAATTAGACCGCTGTCTTCCTAATTCTCTGGGTTAGTAATCTCTTTATTTCAGTAAAGGCTAAGCCTAAACTCAATCCACCATATAGAGCAGCCTTTTAACTTCCATAGATAACCTTTCACAAAATTCAGAGTGAATTGGAGAGAGAATATTAAAAGTACAAGAGGTTCCTGACTGCATAGTTATAGATAAATATATTTTAAACTCAGACATTTATTTTGAGATGCTCTAACATAATTGATGGAGATCTGAAAGAGCATTGAGAGACAGTCACATGATGCCCACAAACACGGGATTGGGGCTGGTGGTGGTGGTAGATTTGGCCCTCTGTGGTGCAGGGATTTAACAGAGAACCGTAGGGAGGCTGAGCTGCGGTTCCCAAACTGCCAGTTCTCAGGCCGTCCTGATGTGGAGGCCAGCCATCAGCCGGCTCTGCAGGCAAGTGTTCAGCCACCAGTGGGCTCAGCGTCAGAGCTGTTTGTCATTCGAAGCTTCCCCAATTTCACCAAGCGAGAACTCCGGTCACTGAGATAAGAGTGGTCAGGGATAAATACCGTGGTTATAGTCACTTCCTTCCTCTCTCAGCAGCAAGCACGCTGAAGCGGATCCCGCCGCGCAGGAACTGGAAGCGGTGATAGACACAGTCCAGGGGCAACTGAAAGATCACCCGTGCAAAGGCAGCATTCGCGAGGCTTTCCAAACCTGGCACAAGGATGCTTCGGGATATGTGGACAAAGAGACATTCTTTAAAATCTGTGACTCTCTTAATGTACCAGTGGATGATTCCTTGATTAAGGAGGTCAGTATGGCTGATTGCGGAGGCTGAGCAACCGTTCCCTCTCTCCTTAAGGCAATTGCATGTGCATTTTGTTCTAACTGGGGAAGGTCTAAGATGTTCACATCAGAGCCCCTATTCGGTCCTGACTGTGGTTTCCCCCTTGATCCTGCCATTGGCATTCTTTTCTAATTGCTGTTGCAAGGCATCTCTTTATGGGGTATGGGACTAGACAGCACACCGTGGCTGGAAAGACGTGTCAGGGCTGAAGGAGGTGATGCTGGAGGGGCCGCCGCCAAGGGAAGACTCAAAGGTAGCTGGGCTGAGCAGGTTGGTGGGCCGCCTTTGACACCCTTCACAGCCACTAAGTACGTGAAGCCCATCAGTAGGACGGGCATGGAAGTGGGTGTGACCACTTCCCAGGACCGGGGTATCTGTCAGTAGGAGTCACATGGCCAGCTGCAAATGGAGGATGGACATGGACTGTCTCCTCGTAGAATTTTCATGAGTGAGTTGAAGAGGGCATTTCATGCTTTTTTTTTTTTCATTATAAACCCCATCAGCTAGGGTTTCCATAGAAGTCAGAACAAAATTTCTCCCACAGTTGCCAGTGAGTATGACTTACTATTTTTGAGACATTCTCGCTGATTAAGAACACTGAGATGCTGTAGACCTCAAAGATTTTCCAGCAAAAAGGGATGTTCCAAGTTAAGATTAATTTAGGAAAGGCTTTCATTTAGGGCTAAGATGACTAGGTTGGCTGATGAGGATATATTGTGGACAGGAACATTAACAAGGAGTCAGGGAGGCAGCTAGAAGGGCCTTTGTTCACGTGGGCCAAAAATCCATGTAGCTTCCCAAATCTTAGATTGAGAGGACGCCCACATTTTTATTTTTACGTCACTTATACTATCTGGGACCTGACATGGGAGGGAGGAATTGCAGCCAGTGGGAAGTGGGACAGGGAGAGGTGGGTGGGATGGCTTTACACGTGTCTTAGGAAGGAAACCACAGCAAGCCAGCCTCTGAGTTTAGGGGCCATGGTCTGAGCAGCAACATAACTGGATTCGTCTATTAGGCTGGGGTAACAGCAACCTGCTATTTTAAGAGTCTTACTCTGCACAGACTACGTGGACCACGCCTTATATTTGAATATAAAAACAATTAAAAGTGCTTTCTTTTTTTTTTTACATTTTTAAAATGACAATGCCCTTATAAATACAAATGTTAGTCCTGAAATCTTGGGCAGGCCATTTACTCCTCCTGAGCTTTGATTTTTTTAAGTGTAAGAGGGGATAATATCTGACCTACCTACTGGGTCCAGAGGATCATTTCAGAATCAACTGAGGATACAAAAACTCTGACCTGGTTTACAAGGCTGGCGATCATTATTCCTAAGCACACTCTGCAGTTACACTGCAGGCAGCCTGCACGTCTGTCTCATGTGCTCTCTTTGCTCTCTTCTGCAGTTAATCAGGATGTGCTCTCACGGAGAAGACAAGATTAACTACTATGAGTTTGTTCGTGCTTTCTCAGACTGACCTGGCTGATGAGAGATGCAATGCAAGTTTTTGAGGTTGGACCTACACTTTGAAATATACCTGGTACTCTTTGTAGAGGCATTTACACCGCTGTTGAAAAAAAAATTTTTGTGTGTGTTCTTATATTTCACTACTACTGAAATCTAAATTAAATTGGATCTTGTAGGAGCTAAGATTGGTGCCTTATTCAGGAAGGTAGGGGTGTTAATTTTATGTGTCAAGTTGACTGGGCCTTGGGGTGCCTAGACATGGTCAAATAGTACATCTGGGTGTTTCTGGATGAGGTTAATAGTTGAATTGGTAGACTGAGTAAAGGAGATCGTCTTCTCCAATGTGGATGGGCCTCACCCAACTCGTCGAAGGCCTGAATAGAACAAAAAGACTGACCCTTCCCCAAGTAAGAGTGAATTCCCCCTGCCTGCCTTCAAACTGCGACACCAGCTTTTTCCCGCCTTCTGATTCAAGCAGAAGCATGGGCTCTTCCTGGGTCTTGAGCCTGCTGGCCTTCAGGCTGGAACTACACCATCAGCTCTCCTGGGTCTCCAGCTTGCTAACTACAGATCTCAGGACTTGTCAGCCTCCATCATCACATGAGCCAGTTCCTTATAATGACTCTCCTTCTCTCTGTATACATCCTGTTGGTTCTATTTCTCTGGAGAACCCTGACTCATCAGGTGTACAGTGATTAAGACCAGGAAGAAAGGTAAGATTTGCTCGGAGGAGCACCATTTGGGGTGTTGGAAATAAGCACATGGTACTAGTATTGCTACTAAGCCAGTGCCCTGCCCCCGCCCTCACCTGCCTGTTTGCCTCAGTATTCTGGGGAAACACACCACACATTTTGCAGACTGTGGTTCTAGGCCCATTAGCAGACCGCATTTAAAAAACAATAAAATGGAATAACACATAATCAGTGTGGCACACATAGCAGGGTATGTGCTCTTTCATGAAACTTTCATTTCAACGGAGCGTGTAGTTACTAGGTCATGATGTAAAATGTATTTCTTGGTGTGGGTTGTAATAAAATAAAATTTAAAAAAAAAGGAAAGAGTAAATTCAGAAAATGTCTGCTTTCAGAGAGCCTACCTTGAGATAGGAGGAAAAGACAAGTAGCAGCTACTGGTTTTCTAATTAGCTCGGACAGACTTTCTAGAAGCAGAGCTGCTCAGTGAAAGTCAGCCACCAACTTCATCCTTATAAATGCTGTTTCCTCCTGCACCCTAAAGAGTGGTATATATGAGGAAGGCATAACGCCTTCCTAACGTATTTTGGCTAAGAACAAAATCGGCAGTATCTCCATATCGGTGCAGGTTGGTGCAGCTCCGTGAAAGACCGGCTGAAGAGGGGCCCATAGCTTTTACAGACTTCTTTCTTCCATGGGAGGCAAGGGTGATGGAGAAATTATGTGCAATCCAGATGCCTGGCCCTCTCTGAACCAGCTCTCCGGATGAGCCAGGCCACCTCTAACCAGCTTAATAAAAGGGATGTAAATGTATCATGCCGACTCCCCCTTTTCTGCTCTAGGTTGATGTCTCAAGAAGAGATATGTTTTCTTTTTTTCCCCCCAGTCGTAACTAATAAAAAAAGTCTAATTTTCAAGTATTTAAAAGTCCATTTCAGCCTAACATAAAACCACGAAGCTCTATCCTGCCTGCCCCAGTGCAGTGCTGTCTCAAGCCTGGAAGCCTGTAGAGTGTGTGTGTGTGTGTGTGTGTAGGGGGCATGTCCGGGCAGGTGGGTTTCTTCCTCCTCCTGGTTTGTTTCCCTTGCTTCCATTTCAGCCGTGTTGCTGTTTCTGGCCTTTGCGGTGTCTGGACAGGTGAGGAGGTAGAAACCATAGGAAAAGGGCCAGGACTTTGTGGGGCTGGCAAAGTCATAATCTGGGGTCAGGGCCTCCAGGCTGGCTCCTTCTCTCCCAGGGTACCTCTTCTGTGAGTTCTCAGGACACTTTCCCACAGGAAACCTCCCCGTGCACCATTCTCAGACACAGATGGCCCAGTCTCCAGTATACTGGGACTCCAGTGTGACTGCTCTCACAGTACACGCCCACCAGGCCCTGCAGCCTCTCAGAAGGTCCTCCCAGGTGGGGGCCCCTTCAGGCTGACTTGTCCTTTCAGGGCCTCTGCTGTTGCCCATTGTTTCCATCCAGACCAAGCTCTCGACTGTGCAGTTAGGCAGCTCAGCCAGTCCCTTTCCTTGAGTTAGGTGAGAATCAGGCACCTCAAATATTGTGCTCGTCAAACTCTAGGGGATACGTGTCAAGCCCTGAGTCTGTTCAAGTACCGCTGTCATTTAGCTTGTGGACCTACAACAGTCTGATGGCCCTTTCAAGAAATCCACACTCTCCAGTAATTTCTCCATCACCCTTGCCTCCCATGGAAGAAAGAAGTCTGTAAAAGCTATGGGCCCCTCTTCAGCCGGTCTTTCACGGAGCTGCACCAACCTGCACCGATATGGAGATACTGCCGATTTTGTTCTTAGCCAAAATACGTTAGGAAAAACTCTCATTTAATATCCTCTTAGCCACCCTTTGAGATCCAAGTACTCACAGCCCCTCTAGCCTGTTCCGACATCTTTGCTCCTTTTATTCTCCTCTACCTTTTCCATTGTAATGGGGACCAGGATTAAAATGCCAGCCCCACTGTAACTGTTAAAAGTGTCTCAGAGCTCTCTCTGAATATGGTCGGCACCATTCATATATATGCTGTTAGCTTGCTGTCCACGCCTTCCCTTCCAAGTTTACCCCCGATGGAGAAGCTGAGATCTGCCAGCACCATCACAAGGTATAAAAGCTACTTCCCAGCAGACCAGAGCCAGCGGGTAATCCCTACGGTGTCCATGCTCACCGCTTACCTCTGCTCGTTTATACAAGGCAGGCAGGTGTAGCAGCCGCAAACGTCAGTGTGGAGCTTCCTACCCACAAACCGCATGTTAAGAAAACGCAGTTTCCCTACTCAGATCCTGAATGGAAGCCTGACCATTAGATGTGACTTCTGTATGCTGCCTTATGCTAGTCACACCTGGCAGGCATCTGGAGTCCGCCTCAGGTGATGTGAGAGAGCTGAGCACTAGCCTGCAGCAGGCGATATTGTGGGAAGAAGAAATAACCATCCTGTGGCTGGGCCACCAGGGAGCTGAGACAAAGAATGAGCTTCACCTATTAGCGTTTGCAGCAGAGGCACACTAGTAGCTGCGGCTCTTGGGTCACACTGAGGGATGTGTAAGATGGTTTAGGGTGGCTTAGGAATTCAGGGCTAGTAAAATCTGCCTTTGGGTAAAGATTGGCTGTGAGTTACCACTACTCAGGCTCTAGGTCTGTACTCAGTCTATACCACCAGGCAGGTTTGAAAATACCATCTAAGTAGGGTGTATCAAACTCTTATCTACAGGCTTTGAGGGTGTTTGGGATCAACAGGTAGAGAAGATGTCTCTCAACATTGTTTCTAGAGAACCAAGTGTCACTTGAGTGAGTGACTGGAATATCCTGCTGACACATGGGTAGGAGTATGTTCATAAAAAAATAATTTATTGAGTGCTTTATTTGTACCATGAACTTAGCATTCGCTATCCCTAAATCTTATCACTACCACTCCCTGCAAAAACAAGCCAACCAACCAACCCCCAAAACTGCAGAACTCAGATGAGATGAGCAGACAGGCTCAGAAAGGTTAACTGCTCAAGGTCACCTAGCTTCCCCGTGGCAGAGCAGGATGACAACCTCGGTCTGCACCAAAGCCTACCCTCCCCCAGGACCACTCCCTCCCTCCTCAAGTAAACGTTTCCTGTTTAATCCTCATACCCCGTGGGTGTCCTTGGCTGCCAACCCACGTGTAACTGCACTCATCTCCTGAGCTCTCTGTGAAGATGGTTATGTTAAACAGCAGACAGCAGCAGGCAATAGGCATCTAACTGACACCAGCAATCCCAGCTGCCCACCATTATTACTAGTGCTTGGCTATCCATTCAGTACCAACACTGATATTTGGTGACTTTTACACACAAACTTCATCCCATCTTCTCCTAGCCAAATGACTTCATAGCACAGTAGGCATCAAGCATGGTGTCCTTCCTTGGGGAGCTTTCTACCCACAGACCCCATGTCAAGAAAGCTCCTTTCCACATTTATGCTTGCCTGTTACAGAGTCACATAAA